TTGTTCGGCACCAGATCGATGTGACAGTGACAATCAGAAGTTGTACGTTTTATGAACAAATTTACTAAAATTGTTACTATCTCAAATGTCATGTTTTTCAGCAAGCCTAACAATAATTCATGCTAAAAAAGCTACGAGAATGAGGCTAAAAGAGCGCATACCTTTGGTCTCCATAGCCAAAATAACCAGAGAATTTTTATTTGGTTAAATTATAGTCTTATTCCCAAACTAAAAACCATAAAAATCCGATTACCCAAACCAAATAATTTCATCAAAGTCGCAGACTTACTAATAGTGATTAGTGATAGACACAATTTGAAATTAGCATAAGAGTAATATGTATCCTAAAAAACAAGCATAAGAGCAAATATGTATCAAGATTTCAGAAATAGAATAGAGTGGAAGAGTGAAGCTGCCTCATGGGTTGAAGAGTAAACTCCTACATACAAGATATGCGAGAAACACGGATTTAGCAAATATTTCTCAGATTCAATATAGTATCACCTACCTTGTCGGATTCACTCTTGATTGAGCTGGTTAGGCTCAGTTTCTCGTACTCTATGCTGAGAATCTCGGATCCAGAGTCGGTGCTCAGTTCCTCCTCCTTTGCACGCTGGTTGATCAAATCATAAAGACATCAAAACCAATTAAGCAACTACAAACAACATAAACATAACAAAACTGGAGATCTCTATAGACATCAGTTCCTCTTTATTTTTTTACTCTAATTTACTTTCACTTCCTCAGCTCTCCACTAATCACAACCAAAGTTTGACCTCAATCATGAACATTAGATCACTGTTGTTGCTCTTTGTTCTCCAAGGCGTCGTTCCACTTATAAGTTTTAATGTTGTCAAGGTTCGAGGACTCCGCGATGATAGTTATTGTTTGAGTGTTAGGATTATCTCTATCTATCAATTTATCTATTGCTTTTGTGTAATGCGCTTGACTTTTGTAGCCGCGTTTTAATTAGTCTTGATAGGTTTATCTTCTATGTTATACTTATACCCATTTGTTCCTTTTATGAAGAGTATAACAATCTATAAAATTTTGTTGAACAAAAACAATAATATAGCGGGAATGCCAATAATATTACTGATGTCTTTTTTTTTAATACTCAGGAAAGTAGAATATTAGTTCCTTTTTTCTCTTTTAAATTTATTTAATCATCGATACGAATGCCGCAAATAAAGGAAATAATATAAGTTTAATACATATAGAACAGATCATATAAGCTTAATATGAGTGTGAAGATCCTTAATACAAAAGCCAAAGTCTAATTCTATTGCATACTTATTGTCGGTAACAAACTTTCGAGCATAGACTAGGTTTTAACAATTGATGAATACGACTATACGAGAATAAAAGTTGAGAATACCATGATAACATGCACCATGTAATAAGAGCAATGGACTTGTTACCAACGGTAACTATAAGAAAAGAATGGCATGTTCCCACTCCCACATTAATGATTTGACACATTATATAGTTATGAATTATGGTGAAAAATAATATACCTTTAAACCCTTAATCTAGCTTATCTAAGTTACATGTTTTCGTAAAATTAACCGCATCTACCTTAACAAAGCATTCCTTTCAGCAAGATAAGCCTTTAGTCTTGAGCGACATATTGCAACATTGGTTCAGAAAATCTTTCCCTCTGAATGGTTAAATCTATTACTAACATTAAGACAAGTTCTTAGTTTCTGACTTTTTCTTTTTCACTAAATGATCTAAGTTGACATCGGATTGGAGAGAACAAATTAAAGTTCAAATTGCTTTGCAAGGACCATACCAACACAACCATCCGACATTACATTCAAGTCTGACTAATACTATGGTGAAATGACTCATAGGAAAGCAAACCATCAAGTTGATCTTGGACCAAATCCTAGTCTCGCCTACCAAAAATATCATGACTTTGTTCCTAATACCATGACTTCCTCTACTGAGTTCTTTAAATTACATGTAATAAGCGTGATATCTTTTGGTGGAGCATATATCGAGTATAAAAGAAGTAAAGAACAACGTCTGGAGGCAAAAGTTAGCTTCTTCACTGAAGTTTACTTTCTAGTTTCTACCAACTTTTTGGGAGATTTCAGATTTATATTATAATGTTTTTTTTTGTATAATAATTTTGTTTATATGATTATATAGATTTGTAGAATAGCTAGTTGAGGCTGTTGTGAATTTCTCTGAATCACTAATTCAACAAGCAGTTGACCTTACTAACTTGATCCCTTGTTGATTAATTTAGCCGAAGAAACTATACTTATTTTTTTTTTTGAATACCAGAAAGTTCTGTGCTAAAACCCGTAATCTCCCCAGACCCGAAACTACAATATGTAATATTAGTTTCGTCCCAAACGTTACTCGAACCGGTGACCTCTAAACTTCGCCTAGGGTCTTTACCAATTGAGCTAACGACACTTGGTTGAAACTATACTTATTTGTAAAGAAATAATCATATAAGAAGATAATTAATGACATAAACTCATACATCATTACCATCTTCTTCACCAAGAAAGCTCAAAAACTCATACATCACAAATTAATTAAAACATATCTAGTTAAGTAGATCGGATTTTTGAAATCAGATCACTAATCGGATTCCCAAAATTAAAGCATGTTTCAACGAAAAAAGAAGAAGGAGCTTAAAAAGTAGAAGACTGTCAAAGAGATAATTGTCTACATTTTAGGTAATCGTTTCCAACCATTAATTTAGTTGACATGAGACCGGCGCCATTATTGTGTCATATATATAAGTGACTAAGATGAAAATGATTGTTCTGAAAATCGGTTGAAGACTATTCAGTTTAAAAATCTATATTGGACCTCACCGGACGCATTCATCAAAGAATTATCGTTATATCTCATTATTAATTGCTTCCATAATTTATATATTTGTTTTCTTAAGATTTTTTTATTTCTTGCATAGTTTACATATAAAATTTATGTTGTGAATGATAATATAAACGATGTAGTCCACAAGCTACTTAGTCTATATAGCATCTGTCAGAAGTCAAAACTATTCAAGCTCTTAGTGTTTGAAGAACTTATATTTCGAAATTCAATTACAAGGCCAAAGATAAACTAACCACTTTAAACATAATTTATAAATAGATTAAATAACTCTATACCTGAATTTGTAAAAACTGTATTTACTACAATCGTAAGATTATAAATTCTATTAGGTAAATGTAAAATAGCATCAAGGTACAACTTTGAAACATAACCAAAACAAAAATTAGAAACCCGACATCAAATAACAACGTCTAAGATTATTAAATACTGCTAATCTCTCGAGAAGAGTCAGAAACCTTTTAGTAGTAACGTTTGAGAATGGAGGTTGAACATATTTACGTCAACGTTCCAAACAATTTATTCACTGGTCACATGAATCATCGCCTATATATCCACCTAGGAAGCTATATATATATCATTGAGATTGCTTAGGTTGAAACTTGGTTTCTCTACGAAAACTTCTCGGAAACTAATCTAATAAAATAATTTTTTCCAATTGGTTCAACAAAATGGTAGCTATTTTCTCATCACACAATTTTTATCGTCATTATATATTTATTTCTATAACCGGAGATCTAGATCGAAGAAGCCTAAACTAATCCACCAATCGATTTTATGACAATAACCACTAAACTACAATCTTTTGCTTCTTCTTATCATGTCTTTCGGTACACATATGTTTTATCACCAACGACTCATTTAATTGAGATTTAGTTTTAATTATGTGGATCTTTTGTTCTCCATGACCATGACATAACTTTTCTGCTATACTATTCAGTCTTCTTTTTGAACCAAAAAGTCATAGCGAAAATGAAAAGAAATCTTGAAATTTATAGTACATGACGTTCTTTTTTTGTTACCAAAATATTTTAGCAAATTTGTAACTTCACAACATGGATTTCTCACGTGTAATTTCTAAAAATATATTACTACTAATACCTGAATTTACATGATATCATATTATTTGTTTAAATCCCTCAAGGAAAACACAAAACCTAATGACATTTTGCCACTACGTTTTTTTTGCCAATTTTGGGAATTTAGTTATCTATCAAAGAAGCCGTAAGTCGTCTAAACCTAATAGCTTCTTATATATACCTCCAAACAATTTATTATACCTAATAGCTTCTTATATATACCTCCAAACAATTTATTATCGCCTATATATCTAGCTAGGATGTTACCTATATTGATATTGCTTATGTTTGAATTACTTGGTTTATCTATGAAAATTTCTAGGAAACTCTACTGATAAAATCGCGTTTGAAATTGGTCCGATCATGCCAAAAATATTGAAGCGATGCGTCTCATCACACATATATTCATCCTCTTTATAAATACTTGAAATCTGCAAAAGGGTTTTGTAGTAGCTAGAAGAATATAAGTCTACCAAATGACTATAACATGACTATATATAATCTGCAATCTCTGGTCTAAATCCACATGACTAAAACCACTGAACTTATAATTACTTGCTTATTCTTATATATCATGTCTTTCCGTACACATAATTGTTTATCACCATCGACTCATTTCAATTGGGATTTATTTTATGTGGATATTTCAGTTCTATATGACCATGACCCTAATTAACTTTTGAATACTAATCAGTCTTTTCTTTAAACCAAAAAGTCATAGCTAAAACGAAAAGAAATCTCGAAATTTTTAGTAAATGACTTTCTTTTTTCGTTACCAAAAGTGTTTAGCAAGCTATAGACAAAAACAAAAATGTCTAATTATAGACAGATAACAAAACCAAGATGTCTTATACTCCTATTTCTAGACAAAGATGTCCGATTAGTTTATAGAACCGAAAGTATCTATGGAACAAGATTCTACTACCGAAAAAGTGAAACTAAGAATCTGAACCTAACGTACGTACGTGTATCATTTGTTTATGGTGTCATTCAAATTCAAAACTACTGTTTTCTGAATTCAAATTATATATGTATACGTAATCAATGCGACGCAAAAAGAATTCAACAAAATGATTATTACTGAAACAGACTTATATATATAATAACTCGAACAATATAAGATGTATATCTGTATCTATACATAAAACGGTATATACCGTAAAGTTCTTATACAAAAATTACTGAAAGCCTAAAAAATTAAAAAAATATCAGATAAAATAAACTTACCCTACACAAGTATACCCCCCAAAAAAAAAAAAAAATCAGAAAATCAACCTCCCAAGTTCCAACTTCAAATCTTCGTTCTCTAAAGGCGTCAAGTTCAAGTCCAAACACAAAACCCTCTTTCCATTACCACCGCCAGATTTCTTCATCGTCACCGGCGTTGTAGCCGGTGCTAAACTCCGGCCAACTCCTCCTCCTGATCCACCTCTATGCTTCCTCATGTGACCACCCAAGGCTTGCCCTACCGCGAACTCAGCACCGCATATGGGACACTCATGTTTCACCGGTTTGACTCTCTTAGGAGAAGGAGGCGCGTGGCCTTCAAGCGCTGCCGATCGCCTGTGGCTGGCTCGGTGGCCTCCCAAGGCTTGGAACGACGGGAACTCCTTGTTGCATGTCTTGCACGCGAAAACACGGCTTTTGGTGTCGTTTTGATGAGCCTTTGATAGAAGAATCAAGCAATTTGCCATGTTGTTTATCATCTCCATCTCTGATCTTCCCCTTTCCATTTGACTGATTGCTTTTTTTTTTGGTTGAGAAATGAAAAATGAAAAATGAAACGAAGACTTTGTTGAATAATGAGTTTTGATCGTGTTTATATAAGCGAAAACTTAGCTTAGCTTTTTGCATTGACTTTTTTTTGTGATACGGAGAGCTGAAATTCTAGTTTTACCCTTTCCTCTTGCTGAATAAGTAAGTACCTTTTCGTTGACCTTCCACGTTCAATAACAGTTTCGTGTTATTCTATACAAAAATAGCAAAAACTAAAATAATAACTGAGTATTCATTTGATAGCTTATTAATCATCATGTTGAACCGCTTAGAAACGAGACAGACATGTAAATAGAATCTATAGTTAGTGCACTTTCTTAAGAAAAAAAAAAAAACTCTATGACCATAGAATATTGATGAATATTTCATTATTGTTTTAGCTAAACGAGTTAAAAAAAAATAACTAAACCGATCATGCAGACAACAAACATAATGTATAAAAGACATAAACCATAACACTAATTATCACTTAGTTATGTATTAGAAACTCATTAAACATAGCAAAAATCCAATTGATTGATTCAAAGTTTTCATGCTAAATTTGTGATGTTGTTGGTTCCAAGCAATGTTAATTGTTGGTAATACAACTGCGTTTGCCACAACACAAATATTGTTATCATCAAACTATCAAGATAATCAATAAAAAATATCTTTTGTCAACAAGTAATAACTATGATTTAATTAATATTCCAAAGTGGAGTTTTTAAATATATGGTGGTAATTAACTAAGAAAAATTAAAGATAACAAATGGAGTTGGTAGTTGTACTGGTCGATCTTTCTTGGGGAAACCATGAACAAGTTCCATGTTTCAGTCTTACTAGCAAAAAACTATGGATGGATGAGAGGAAAAAAAAAACAAATTTGCTTAGAACCGTGGCTCAAAACAACTATGGTTTTGATATGTGGTCGATAAATATTATGGACCGAAAGTTTAGAACTCTTCTCATGTGTAAAATTGTTTAAAGATAAGATGATATTATTAAGGAAATGGGTATTTTAGTAATTGAAGAGGAAGTACGGCAAGACTTTTGGTACGGCAAGTTGCGATTGAGTCACACAAACGTCATCGCATACCAAACCAAACAACGAGCAGAAAAATAGTCGTGAGTCAGACGCTCTAGAGTGTTTTACTATTATCAAACGTTTCACTTTATTCCCACTCGCACTCTCTCGCGCATGAATCTCAAACGCTATTTTTTTCCAACTTTTATTTTTGTGTTTCCTCGTGAAGATATAGATTATCTTCATTCAACATCACGCATGATAACTACGTTACGTGTTATCTTGTATGTTTTAGGTGTTGATTTAATACTTAATGACTCGAAACAAACTTTTTGAGTTCATACTTTCATTTACATGAAGATGGTTAACCGATACCATAAGCCAAAGAGAAAACAATTAAGATACTGGTTTATAGTATATCATTCACAAATGTATGTAGACATAATGACAAACCATATGCATAAAATATTTTTTTATCTCTCTATATATATAAAGCTTTTATGGTCGGTCACTACAAATTACCAAAACATTTCACTCTATAATATAGAAGAAATTGGACAAGCAAGTTATATATATACTTATATATACAGTTTAATATAATTATAATTTAGTGGCTCGGTGCCTTATTTTTTCCAATATATATTAACCAACATGGTGGTCATGTGGCTGGTTTGAATGATTTATTTTGCGGTTAAAGTCTTATGAATGTGCGGAAAATTATTTTTAGTGATAATAAAACAAAATCTTCAACTATATCATTCAACAACCAACTTTTTATATCTGTTTGACTTAGTGTATAAAAGTTGCTAATTTAGAAAATATATATACTATTCAAATCCAAATGGAGAAGTAATTTTATTCAAAAAAACTACGTACAAACTATAATAGTGATTTTTGGAAATATTTTATATTTAAGTTAAGAGTGGAGAAAACATGAACTTATTTTTTAAAAAAATTCATGAAGATAAAAAATATAATTTTGAGTTTATAACATTATATTATATTATTTGACTTGCACCTTATTACAAAAATTGGAAACTTAATTTCTTGCTTTAATTGATTTAGATGCGTTTGGTTCAATTTTTCTTCAGTCCTTTAATTTGACACTAACTCTTCCTTTGTTTTGTTGTGTGAATCATATGGGTTATGTGTGCTAGATCGGCATCTTATTATCTAAAGTCTAAAATCTTTATCGTAATTTTTTTTTTTTAAAAGAGGTGTGAAATCGCTTCTTAATCAAAAAACAGTAACCATGAAAATAATTTTCAACAACAAAAAATCCGTACACGAAAAGTACATAGTCGCGCGTGAAGTTGAAGTGTTCATATATGTTTGGAAAAGGGTAGAAAAATTAAGAGAACATCAAAAGAGATTAAAATATAAAAAGTCCATGATCCACGCCGCCCTTTCGCAAAAAATTAAAATCACATGAGTTTTTTTTTCACTAATACATATTCCAAGATTCTAGACTCAAATCTTGTCCCAAAAGAAAAAAGTCTAGACTCAAATCTAATTTACTCTCTACAAAGTCTAATATTACTCTCTATAACTTACGTGGATAATCTTGTCCCACATAATTAGATTTAAGATTGTGTTTAAATGAACTAATTATTTTGACTCAAAATTCGTCTACAGTCAAAGAATTAGTGCCGTACATGTCTTTATTGTTTTTGGGTTAGTAAGATGTCCAATCAGATTCTCAAGTTCGTTTCGGTTTAAAGAAGAATACCAATCTAATCGTTATCAGATGTTCAATAAAATATTTCAGTTTTGCTTAGTACAATTTCACCTAGAAGATATGTTAGAGAATTGATGCTACATATTAGTCGATCAATGGTAAAATGATTAAAGAAGAAATCAACATCATCGAACACACAAGTGTGACTATTAAATCGATTCTCTCTAACCGTTTTTCTAGACCGTTAGCCGATAGATGTTTATATTGTTATTACATTGTTCATATATTGTTGCTTTCCGTCAACATTGTAAGGCCGCCCAAGCCTCTGTGGTCTAGTGGCAGAGGAAGCTTTGGTGAAGGGTGAAACTCCCAGACCCGAGTTCGATTCTCCCTGGAAACAAAAACACATTTGTTTGGGAAGTCTGTCAGTTGGGCCCAGGCCCAACTGGTTTACCTGGTAGTCAGAAATGCAGGCGGCCTGACTACCCCCTGGCATTAGTCGGAAGGTATCCCAAACTCGGATCAGGCAGTGTGGTGGCCCAATTCTACCTGGATCGGGAGAAGTCCACTCTGTAGCACCTCGGTGCGTTCCTACCGAGGCCAACCGGATCAGCCGATAGGGTTTATCAAAAAAAAAAAAAAAAAAAACATTGTAAGACCAACAAGCGTGATTAGAAGTTAGAACTGGCCTTGAATCCAAGTTTAGGAAGCTTGGGCTTGGGGTTTCAGATATATTAACATTTAGTTGAGCTAGTAAAAGTCAATGTACACATGGGAATTAGTAGGTTTTAATTGTTCAATTGTTTTTCCTTGATTTAATTATTTTTTGTATTTTCGTTTTCAAAAACTAATAATTTATGGGCCCGGTTTATTTATTTTGAATTCTAATGCTCTGATTCCATTTAGCCCGAGAAGACCGTAAAAAACTAAAAATGGATCTCTTTCTTGAAAATGGTCTAGGAAACGCATGAAGGGCTATATATAGGCCAAGTTTAATAAGATTTCGTTCACATTTAACTAAAGCCCACCAAGATGTTTAATTAGATTATCATGTTTGTTTACGTGTAAGACGAATAGTAATACCTATCTCTGCGGTTTATACCCGAACTAATTAGTCCGAACCGAACCGGGTTTTCGTTTTTTTGGTTTAAAATCGGTTCCATTTAGAGGGATTTTGAATTATGTTTGGTTTACGCAGGGTCAGCTCAAATTTTGAAATATAGACCTAATTACATGTAAAAAAATTTATATTTTTCTGAGTTTCAAATACACTAACCTTAATGGTAATTTAACAAATTCCGAGTGCAAATGCACTCCTTGCACATAACTATATACGACAATGTGTTTACGGTTCGGTTTGCCGCAGTAGTTTTGTTTGCCTTGTATTTCCGCTCATTTAAAGGTTTATTTTCAATAAAAAAATTTCTCATGTATTTTTATTTTTGTATATTTCATAATTAGCTAATGTTACAATTTCTTTAGAAAAAAAACTAATATAAAACTAGAGCATACTAGCTAGACATGCATGCTCAATCAAAACTGGTATTTCGACTTTAAGTTGCATTAAATCCTTGATTCATACTATTAACCACTAAAACTAACGATTCAGTTTCTCGCCACATATATGTACGTGAACATCTATAAGGCCACCTTCATTGGTGGGTTTCTAAGTATATCTTACTTGTTAAAAAAATAAAAAATAAAAATAGAAGCAGGTGAGAGACACAAAAACGGTTCCCAAACAAGAGACTATTAGAACTTCATGAGAACTCTATGGACACATGTCCTTTACTTAATGCCGGGCAACGTTTTTATTTAAAATTAAAATTTAAGTACATAACTAAATTAAATTTAAAATATTATTAATTTATTATTAAGAAAACCAAATGTGTATCTTCACTGATGGAGTTGGCCTAAATGGAGCTAGAACTCTCCATCGAAAGGGCTGGAACATTAACGATATGAGAATTTGAAGAGGTGATAAGATACCTTCGGAGAAATGTTAGACTCGCTTGAGAGCAAGATCATAACTTGTTGATGTCAGCAATGCTTTCGTATAAGAACGTTGTTATGGATGAACCATCATCCAATGGTGGGGGATGATCCGATGGAAAATATATTATAAAGTACATCTATGATCTCTCTTTTTTCTTTGTCTAAGAGGTTTTTTATGGTATGGATGTTTTTTTTAGTCTTGGCATGAGCTCTTGTAATACCGCTTTTTATTTTACTTTAATCGAGGTTTTAAGCAGATCAATGGGTTTACTTTATGATTAGGTCCACCGCATGGACTATATATCTATCCATCATAAGTCTTGTCATCCCATTGTTTTGTT